CCAGGGTCCTGGGATCGAGCCCCACATCGGGTTCCTGGCTCAGCAAGGAGCCTGCTTCTCCCTCTCCCTCTGCCTCTCTCCCTGCTCATGCTCTCTCTCTGTCTCTGTATCTCCGTGTCTCAAATGAATAAATAAAATCTTTAAAAAAACAAACAAAAAACTAAAAGTGAAAAGAGCATCACACAGGACTATGTGTTTTGTGCGCTCTCATTTGAACAGGATTTCTCTGGAAGGCTATGCAAGAACTAAGGGTGTTGGGGGGCCAGGGGGGTTAGGCGGGAGACTTTTGACTCTACTATTTGATTTTGTACCTTGTAAAACATTTACTTGTTTTTAAAATTTAAATAGAGAACTATTCAGGAGCCTTGGTAAATAAACAGTTCATGACCCAAGGCAGATGTCAGGAATGAGCTTCTCTAATGAACTGGTCTGTCTGAATAATTCCCCAGCCATGCTGGTCATCAGCCAGGTTTGGGAGTTGACTTCCCACTTGTAGGTATTACTGTCATCGCAAACGCAAACAGCCCCATGCTGGTCTCCTCATTTCCCCCTAAAACTTGCTTTTCTTCCGGTGTTCATCCATCCTGCCTGCTCTGTGTGCAAATCTTGTCCATCCTTCCAAGGCCCACACAATATTGGCCACGGTGGCATCCTGATAAGGCTCAGAGACATTGCTGTTTGCTACATTGGCGTATATCCATCCAATTCATTCATCATGCTTTCTCTTTTTTTTTTTTTTAATTTTTTATTTATTTATTAGAGAGAGAGAGAGAGAGAAACAGCATGAGAGGGGATAGGGTCAGAGGGAGAAGCAGGCTCCCCGCTGAGCCGGGAGCCCGATGCGGGACTCGATCCTAGGACCCTGGGATCATGACCTGAGCCGAAGGCAGTCGCTTAACCAACTGAGCCACCCAGGCGCCCCCATCATGCTTTCTCTTGAACTACTTTTTTTGGAGTAACAGCGTTGACAGCCTTACCAATGTGACCCCTTTCCCCATCTACATACACCCGCACACATGCCGATTTCGGATACGGTGATGGGAAGCTGGAGGGGCATTTCACAGTGTATCAAGTGAAACAGATGCCTCATCATGTCCCCCAACACTCATGTCCCACCTCTTCTAGGCAGTCCTCTGTGACTGCTCCAACTTACACTACTCTCATTTGTTCGAATCCCAAACGCAGCAGTTTAGGACTTAATTGGCCCATGTATGCTGATGTGACTGTCCAAATAGATTGTAAATTCCTAACGGCAAGAGCACAGAGTCCTAATTCTTCATTAACTTTATTATCCAAGAACAGTGCTGGGCTTATGGTTGACAATCAGTATAACTTGTTGGGTCACTGACATTCATTTTTTTTTTCCTTGTCTTTCCTCAAGAAGGGATTAGGGGTGGGGGGGAGTCAGATCAAGAGAAATCTCTTGAGAAGTCAAGGGTATGGTGATTAATAATAATAATAATTACCCTTTATTGAGCAGCTCCTATCTGATAGTAGCCTCTGTGCTAGAGTTTTAAGATGCATTCAACACTTTATATCTGATCCTTACAAGGACCTGAGAAGGTAGGTATCATTGCCCCCCTACAGAGAGTCTGAACAATAGCTTTTAACCTGAGCAGCTTGATTGGAACCCCATTCCAAATCCTGTACCCCTCAGAGGTGTAGATAAGAGGGGGCATAGCCAGGAGGAGGGGCAGTGTGAGAGAGGGCAGGGGTGGGGGAGTGTATTGGTGGTGACACTGCGGGGGTGAGGTCAGTGACACCAACGATCACTGAGGCCCTAGCACCTACGGGGAAGACAGCAAGATGTGCCACCGACTTTTCTCCAGGCCTTTTGCACACCAACAGGAGAAATGGCCTGGTCTCTGACCCCCATTCCCCTCCAAGATCTAATGAATCCTTAATGCCCCTTTTCTTTTTGGTTTTTGAAGGCAATTGAGAGATTCGAGTTGGAGAAGAAGGCTTTGAGAGAGAAAAGTCACGACGGCCCAGGAGACAGAGGCAAAAATCCTTTCTCATAGCCTTGCTGGTGTTTTTGTGGGGTTCGGCTTTCGTTAGTTTCTCAAATGCAGTTAAGCAGGAATCCAGCGTTTCAGCTGGGGATGTTTTTGTCCTCCTCTGAAGGAGCCTCACGTCTGAGTTGCTAGCATTGGGCAAGTTAGGAGGAAAGGACAGCACACTTAGGGACAGCCTGCTATGTGGCGCACTGCTCCACAGCTCTTACTCGGACTCCCTTGTTAAATCTTCCTAATGTCCCCACCTGTGGGCTACCTGCCACTGAACCCACTTTACAGATGAAGGAACAGCTTGTCTGCAGTGGGTCCTGGATTCGGGTCCCAGCCTGCCTTCACAGCCCATGCTCTGTCTGCTCCTCCTGGGGCAAGGAGTCTAACCCATCAGGAGGGGAATCTTAGTGAGTCAGCAGCGCAGGTGGGGTCCGGTGAGCCTACCAGTGTGGCCGGCATCTGGCAGCTCAGGCCCAGTGAAAAATCACAGTTATCATTACCGCACAGCAGGGGACAGACCCCACGGTTACTCACATCCTGTTTCTCTACCATTCTTCTGCAGACAAGAGTCAAAGCAAATCAGAGTATACTTGCAGAGGCTCAGAATCCAGGAATGTCAGATCTTTCATTTTTAAAAGGGTAAGGGATCTATTGCTGGGTCTCTTTCTGACTGGTTTCTGCTGGGCACGAAATTATATTTTAGTCCTGGGGAGGGCACGCTTGGCACCTGCCTGGTGATGGTGCAGGAAAACCTCAGGGTGCCCCTTTTTAGAGGATCTTAAGGTATCTTAATAACGCAGGAATTTCTCATACCACCCTCAAAAGGGTAGAATGAGGGGTGTTCCAGAGGTCATTTGTCTGTTTATTTGTAGAGCGTTCAAAGGTGATTCCTCTTAGAAACAGTAAGTTCAGAAAAAAAAAAAAAAAAAGAAACAGTAAGTTCAGAGTGGGCTCATGTGAGCCCTGGTGCTGCCCCGCTCCAAGAGACCCATTCACACCATGGTGCACTTATGTCCTTCACTTGGATGCCGCAGGAAGCTGACAGTCAGGAGTAGGTCAATGGCCTGTCCAGCATCGTGCACCTGGCTGATGGGCAGAGCCCCCGCCAGCTGCCCATGGCCGGGCTGGCTTCTGCCTCTGCAGCAGCAATCTGGCCCCACCTCGAAGCCACCCCAGTGAAGATTCTCCCAAGCTGGCTCTTTCAACTACCCAGGTCATATATATTCAAACCTTTAAATGCCAGAGCACACAAAACCATCTGTTATTGTTACGTTTTCACTTCTCAGCCTGGGAAATTTCCACGCAGCAGAGAAAGCCCGATGGTCGAGAGTGGGTCAGAAGTGCCAGACTACCTCTGATGGGGGCTGAGCAGATGTGAATGCCCTGCCCAAGGTGGCCCAGCTAGTCAGTGGTGGCGCTGACTTCGGGCCCAGGTTGTCTGAGTCAGGGTCAGAGCAGTTCATCAGGGAGTTCTGCCGATGCCAAGGCCATAGCCCTGTTAGAAAGTCGCTCAGTCCCTCAGAACCTTTCCAGTAGGTGCCTTGGGTGATGGTGATCGGTTTCCTCTTTCCAATTTTCTGTATTTTCACATTTTTGATAGTTATTATATTGCCTCTTTCTGAAATTATTTCTAAATAAATAAGCCTAAAAGGGAAGAAACTATATGCTCCAAATCATTAATAGTGGTAATATTATTTGGAGGTCATCAGTGAGTAGTTAATTAAATGATAGCACATCTCCTTAACAGGCTCTATTATCCGAAGCGATAAATTTGAAGACAGTGTAGCAATGTGGAAAATCTAAAGTGGAGAAAGCAGGGCCTAAAGAGTGTGTGTGTGTGTGTTTATGTTTTGTAAAGTGAGTGAAGTTACACATACATATTTGTATACAGGTGCTCAGAGCCTAAAAGGGAGGATAGAAATAACACAAACAGGAATTTGGAAGAGGTGCTGGGGTCATGAATGCACCCCCATTTTTTTTCTTCGGTGTTTTCGAAGATGGTTATATTGTCTTCGTGACGGAAAAGGGAAGATATCCTAGTATTAGTTTTAAACTGTCAAATGACGGACCTCATTTCCATACTCTGCTTTTGTTTCAGAAAATAGCCCATAAAGATCTGCTGGCGGAGCTCTACCAGTACACACCGTCTAACAGCCCTGCACCAAACAGGCTTCCAAACGGGGTGAACTTCTGTGACATGGTGGGCAACGTGGTCCGGGCTGAGAGAAACCCCCTTAGTGGCAAGGTAAGGAAAGACAGTGGGCAGTTCACTGGTACGCCCAGCTCCGTGAGGCCCGCTGTGGGCCCGGCTTTATAGCAACCCGTGTGGCAGGCACACGCACTGTCCCTGTTTTATACCCCAAGAAACAGAGTCAGCGTCACTACGTACGTCACCCAAGGCCACACAGTTTGCAAGTGACTGAACCGAGATTAGAACCCAAGCCCACACGTTACCTCCGAAACCTAGATTCTTCCTCCCAGAGGACTGGTTTCCAGACTGTCTTGATCAGGTATCCTAGCAGCAAGAAATTTTGAGCATGCTCCCTGAGGATGTATGTTTCTTTATATATGATATACATGTTCTGTTGTCAATAGCTACGTTGTATGTTAGTAATCTTAATTTCTTGGTTTTTTTAAATTAGACATTAATTAGGGGCGCCTGGGTGGCTCAGTCGGTTAAGCATCTGCCTTCGGCTCAGGTCATGTTCCCGGGGTCCTGGGATCGAGTCCCGCATCGGGCTCCCTGCTCAGCGGGGAGCCTGCTTCTCCCTCTCCCTCTGCCTGCTGCTCCCCCATGCTTGTGTTCTCTATCTCTCTGTGTGTCAAATAAATAAATAAAATCTTTATAAAAAAAAAGAAAGTAAATAAATTAGACATTAATTAGAATTTTCCTCCCACACCCCTTGGTACCCCTTGGGGTGAATTACCACTTGGAGCGCAATGCACTGGGTTCCTTAGGAAGCAGGGTGGGGGCATTCAGAGGCCCAGAACAGGTGTGAGACAGCACTGTCCACTCAGGGGGTGGGGAAGAGTGTAAGGAGGTGTGGGGAGGGGAGGAAGCCCAGGAAATGGTATCTGTAGCCCTACAGCTGTGCCTCAGTGCCCTTCACGATTGTTCACTAACTGGTGTGTCCCCTTGGCTCCTAACTAGTCACCCCACTGTTCCCGGGACCCAGCTTCTCAGTCTTAACTACCTGCGCTTCCCACTGCTGCTTCAAACCCCTCACTCCCCCATCTCTCTCTCTCTCCTCCTCTCCCTCCCTCTGTCCCTCTGTCCCTTTCCCTCCCTCCTTTTCTCTCCCCGCCCTTCCTTCACCCCCTCCTCTCTTCTTCACCTGTTCTCCCTGCTGCCTTCTCTCCAGCGCTGCCTCTAAGTCAGTCCCATCTGTCTCCTTCCTCGGTGTCTGGCATTCAGACTTCCTAAGAGTGATGATCTGTTCAGGCCAGTCACTGCCCAGCATGGTGATGGTGTTTGCTGGAGTTCCAGTGCCTGGGTCCAGCGTGGGCTGCAGCCAGCAAGTGGACAGCTGCCTTTGACCAGGCAGTGGTGGCTCTGGGGTCCGGTACCTGATCCCCTGCTGTCCTCAGCCAGCGTGGAGGTGGAGGAGTGGCCGGCACTCAGAGCATCACATTTGCCCCAGACAATGTAAAAAGATGTTCCTTGCATGGTCATGTATGATAGCAAGGACCTGGAAAGTAGCTCTCTGGGCTCTAGTTTCTTCTATAAAATACGGATTGGAGCAGTCTCTACCTAGAGGTGTCATTATAAAATTAAATACCATAAGGACCTTATTTAAGGGTATAAAAAGCGCTTAGTGGGCGCCGGGGTGGCTCAGTTGATTAATCGTCCGACTCTTGGTTTCGGCTCAGGTCTTGATCTCTGGGTCCTGGGATGGAGCCCCTTGTTGGGCTCCACACTCAGCGTGAGTCTGCTTGTCCCTCTGCATGCCTCACCCCCCACCCCGCTCACAAGCGCACACACACACACCCTCTCTCTAAAATAAATAAATAAATAAATCCTTTTAAAAAATGAAAAGCACTTGGCACAGTGCTTAGTAAGTCATGAGTTCTCAAAAAATGGTAGTGTCTATTATCAGCATTTTTAGAAATAGTTTAAGGATGATTAATAGAAGGCCAGCTCAGTCATTTTGGGTACATATATCGTGGACTACTTAGCCATTGAAACGAGTGTTTATAAAAAGTGCATTTTGCTATGCTGTGATGTTAAATGAAAAATATCAGTATATAAAACTCTACAATATGATGTTCCATAAGTACACACACGGGAAAATCTGGGGATGAAACCATACATAGATATTACCAATGTTCGCTGAGTGATAAGGCTATAGCTTTTTCTTCCTCCCTTTTCTGTACTTTAAAAAGAAGAAAGGGGCGCCCGGCTGGCTCAGTCAGAAGAGCATGCGAGTCTTGATCTTGGGGTCGTGAGTTCAAATCCCACAAGAGGCGTAGAGATTACTTAAATAAATAACAAACTTTTGGGGCGCCTGGGTGGCTCAGTCGTTAAGCGTCTGCCTTCGGCTCAGGTCATGATCCCGGGGTCCTGGGATCGAGCCCCGCATCGGGCTC